GTTATTTCCCTCATTGTGTAGTGCAATTTATTATAAGTAGATTGCATGAAAGAATTTGGTGAGATGAGAATGTATGTGAACTAGAGATTAGATACCTACTACACTCATACAAGTTGTGTTACTTGTATTCTTTAGTTACATGTGTACAGACCTCTCTTGTAATCTATGTCATATTATGTACTAAACTTGAGTAAACCATGTGTACTGTGCTGATCTATAAAACCTCAGACATTGGTTCTTTTAAGTCAATTATTTGAAAAATTAATTGAAAAGTAGTATAATATTTGTAATTGTTCAATTGTATTTCTATTGTTTCACCCAATGGTAAACCTAAACATGATTCAAACAAAATAGTTTCACTTTCCAGTTGCACACCTCTAAAAGGTGACATTAATATTTCCTGTTGCAATGGATAGTTCATTACAGACTGCCATCATATGAGAGGCAATTTTATTCTATTCTTAGTACTTTTGTGTTCAGTAAAACATGGCTTATATACCACAAACAGTGCATAGAGTACTTGGTAGAACCCAAAAAAAATGGCGGCACATCTTGAAGTGGTTAAATGACACGATGAAATCCGACCAGAAGCCAGACTAATACACACACCTGGTTGAATATAAACAGTTGCCATGGAAAGGGTAAAAACTGGACAGGCAAACTTTACAAGTTGTTCATTCATGTGAAAGGTTTTATTACTTGTTACTGAGTCTGAAGAAAAGTAATTTATTACTGCATTGAGATTAAGATACAGAGCTACTTGACGAATGAGTTCGTATAGTATGGTTGCTACTTGGCTAAGTCTACTCTCTCTAAGGCTTTGTGTAATAGTACAGCCTTACATTCGTTTTAAAAAAACTCATTTTGGAATGTTCTTTTCAATTGTAAAAAAAATTCAATAACTATATTGGTAATAAGTCAATGATTATGTAGTACTATGATAAATTTGAATAATTATATTGAATAAATCCTAATAATTAAATCAATATAAATATCAACAGTTAAATATAAGATAAGATATAAATTTGTATTTAATTTTGCCATATTTAGAATTTCCACAATATTTTTGTAATAATGATATAAACAATGACATTTTTATCTCATTCCAAAGAAGCCTATAATAAATATTTTCATTGGAAGAATTTATGACTAACTTTATTAACCTCTCTAGGCCTAGATACAAGTTTATAACCTGGAGACAAATTTTGTTTGTAGGATTAAATGAAGTTACGTGATTGAGAAATAAACTGAAGGTTATAGTCTGTTTTTATTATGTCATCTGTAAGGACGCTTCATAAAATGTTCTATTCATGGAATAAATGTACAAAAAAAGATTCTAAACATCATAAAAACCCCTTTAAACTTAATGATTGTTTTGACATGTTTGAAATAAAGATGTAGAGTACTTAGCATTGATAGTAGGTCATCAATCTTCCAAATTACATGAGCTTCTTAGCTCCACTGTAATTGCAGATGACTGTTGTTGTGTTGCTTAAAGTTAATTTGTGTCAACCTTTGTTACTTCTATCAGATTTGTCAATAACTTGAATTATCAAGGTCTATTTTGAAAAAAAAATTATATCAACTTTCTGAAAATAATTGCATGTTACATGTTGGTATCTGACATGGTTCTCCATTAGTTTGTCTGAGATGCAAGGGATATGTAGGCAATTTCAAGGAGCTAAGAGTAAGTTTTGATGAACAAATCTTGAAGTATGTAGATGATGAAAATATCAAGTCAAAAATTGAATTTTAAGACCAAATCAGCAAACTATATGCCAGAGGATAGAAATCCTCAGATACTGCCAGGACAGGAAAATAAGGCACCTAAATACACACCAATAATTCTGGTTGTCAAGTTGTAAATAATTGTTTAATTGAACCAAATATTTCACTTTTTATGATAATTTACCAAAAATTCCTTTCAAGTTAGGATGATATCAGCTGTTATGGCTACAATAACTTTGCTGCAGTGCGTAAATTATTGAGAGCACACAAAATGCATGAAAACATATTTTGCAGTGCTATAGTAATGACACATCCAAAATTGTGTCAAATATTTTTTGGTAACATGAAATTTAAATGCACTGCAGATACTTTCAATTATAAAAATTTATTTTGATATTTCTTTAAATTTTAGTGGTCACTGTATGTCTCATTGCTACACTGCGATCAAGTTAATATCATTGCTGTGACCTGACCAGGCAGCAAGTGTATAAATCAAAATGACAAGTCTATTTAGAAATATATACATTACTGTAACCGCATTATAAATATTTACAAACCAAAGCAGGGAATACATATGACTGTGATTAAGCCGCAACAAATTAAACTTTACAGCCTTGTGATATCAAAAATGACAACATTGATTAATACCTACTAGTTGGTACAAAGGAAATAATATTCATGTTTTACATCTTTGATGTCATCAAAGTTTGCCAATCATATATAATAATGATTGTCTGTCCTGCATCAGTCAACATTTGCAACATTGCTTTCACCTCTTGCGTTGCAATTTGATTCAAAATGGCCAACAGATGGCCATTTTGAACCTTCAATAAATCTCAACTGGAAGTGAGTTATGTGCTGCTCAAATTAACATAAATTCAAAACAAATACAAGTAAAACACATTGTTTACACAAAATTTGAATGCACTCTGTGTAACCTTAGCAACTATAAAGTTACCAAATATTGATATTATGGGGTCATCATGAGATAGTAAAAGTCACTTACAATATTTTTTTGGGTTGCTCTTCCACAGAAAAGGTATACTGGCAAGTTACCTTTTCACTTAATTTATTT